TTTTTCCATCAATGCATCATGCCGGCGAGATGTACATGCCCATGCACAAGGCCACATGTATTTCAGCACCTCGCCCTTGAACTTTTTTCTAAAATTTGCCATTAGGTGTCTAAAACATTCACGGTGCTCTGCATCACCTTTGAAAACTTTATTTACAGCATATGCTAATCCCTTACAAGCATTAGTGTGGATTGTCAAACCTAGGGGGTGCCAATTGCTTTCTTCAAGTTGGCCATCAACCATGCCCAATTGGCATTTGTTTCCTTTCCAAAAATTCCATATGCAACTGGATACATCCAGTTGTGTCCATCAATTGCGGTTGCTGCAGCTAACTGCCTATTATACTTTCCTGTCAAGTGAGTAGAATCAACACCAAGCTACGGTCTGCACCCATACAAAAAGCCATCAACACATGCTTTGATGCACACAAACATCCTTGAGAAATGCATTTGGCCTTTGATCTTCTTGCAATCAATCTCAACAATGCTTCCTGGGCAAGTTTCTTCTAGTGCAGCTTTGAATCTCCACAACATTGTGAAGCTCTCCTCCCAAGTACCATGAATAGCATCCATTGCTGACTTCTTCCCAGACCACACTTTAAAATAGGACAACTCAATGTTGTAATGTTTCTCCAATCTTTTTTGCTGCTTCTTTACACTAAGAGTGGGATCCTCTTTAATAATATCTTCCACTCTTTGAGATATCCAAGCCGTGGAAGCCTGATGTCCCTTCATCCTTGCTGAACTCGAACAAGTGTGATCATCCAATTTAGAGAGTTTGACCACCTGCAAAGTTGAAAATAATAAGAGTCACCATCTAGGTTGCAAAATTAAAAAATAATAGAATCTATAATGAATAAGCTATAAAGAAAGAATAACAACCATAAATGTGTTGCCACCATGAAGCTTCTTTGCAAAAACTCTCCAATCACAATTTTGATCTGCACACTTTGCCCTATACCTAGAAGGCTAGAAGTGTCACTATGTTCAACTCTAGTCTCAAACTCATTTTTATGACGTATGTCCTCATACTTAAGATGAACTCATCCTTGTCTCCAAATGTGTCTCCTTCCTTAATAATTGGATTCTCTATTTCATATGTTGTGTGAGGCACATCGTAATCATCTACCATAGCAGCCTCATCATCAGGAACACACTCAATATCAAAGTTTGGAGTAGGCCTTGGCCTCTTCTTTGTTTGCACCTCCACTTCAATTTTTTCTAATGGTTGTTCATCATTAACGGTGTCATCAACATTTCTGAAATACCTCCACTCTTCATCTACTCTAGTTGGCTCATCTCCATGAGGATTGCACCCAATAGTCATGAAGTGTTCCTTCTCTTCCTCTTCAGCCATTGGTGGACCTGCTGTTGTTTCTCCATATTGTGGTTCTTCTGCCCATTCAAATTCCCCAACTTTCATCTCCTCAACGACACTTGCTGCTATAGGCATGTGTTCACCATCCATGTTAAATGCAGCAGGCATGTCCTCGCTAACCATGTTCAATGCAGCAGGCTTCTCATCCCCTTCCTCATGTCTTTCTACTATCATTAGGAACTTCACCGGTTGACATGCCCTTAGCAAATCAAGAAGCTGACCATCTGAAGTTATTTTGCATGTCATAGTTTGCCCTGTTAGAACCCAAAAATTTGCCTTTTGATTGTTGTCCCATGTAAAATATGGAGCGATATCCTTCTCCAGATCAATGACTGCATAGTCTTCTGAATCAACAATCTAGCTTAATGTCTTGCCCCGATTATACACTTTTTTACCATCTCTAATGCTGAAGTAAGCATCGACATGGACCTCTACTCTACAAGCATTATGTGGATCGATCCTGCAATATGCAAATCACAAGCATGTGGAATAGAGGAACAAGGGAAATTGATAGCAATTTCAGGTCCTCACCAATTCATCTGACACAGCCATGTGCACACTCAAATACCAGCAAGATACCTACACACTCAAAGAACGTAAAGAAGGTGAGAGAAGATAACCCTTCCGGAACTTCTGGCAAGATCCATGCCTACTTAAATCTCTGACCTCTTGAATCAGCCCTACAAAATCCCAAGAAACTAGGGTTCATTCTCAAGAAACGATAGCTCGAGGAGATGGAAACAAGAGATAAAGAGGAGTGGAGGAGGCGTGCACCATGGATGAGAGGCCCGAGGAGCTGCAGTTCCGGTCGAGGAGACGCGCCGCCGGGAGGTCTGCCGCCGGCCGCCGGGTGTTCAAAACTCTTATTTTTATTCCCATTACTTTAACGAAGTTAACAGAAATGGTAGAAATAGGTATCACAGTGATCTTTCGATGCTATTTTTCTACAGCTTGATCTTTCGATGCTACTTTTCTAAACTTTGGATCTTTCAGCGCGTTTGACTGTTCCAGTCCCGGATTATTTCAGCTTATTCTTCTTCACGTAACACTGTTCGATCATCAAAACCAGTCGAGCTACCGTGCCCGAGTGTACCCTCCGAACACGCTGTTTTAACGGTACCAATCCAATTTTCTCTGAAAATAATGAAGTGCACCTGCAATAGAGCTCCGCTTTTGTTGAGCACGAAGCTATCCATCCTCCCAGCCACTCAGCTACTCGACATTCCACACTTGGCACTCCACGGCCGGCGCGCCCTTTTCCCCCTTCCGCGGCTCATCCAAGGACGCGCGCCGTGTCGCGTCCGCCGATGACGAGGGCCCACCTGCCGGCAGCGGCGGGGGCGGCGCAGCGGCGGCCGACGGTGGCGCTGCTGCTGGGCCTGGCGCTCGCCTTCTGCCTCGCCGTCCTCTCCATCCAGTCCTCCTCCTTCGCCGCCCCAGGTACGTACGGCGGCCCTTCCGCCCCGCATTCCCAAATCATACCTAGCTCATCTCATCGGGCTGACGCGTTCGCCCTTGCTCTCCCGCAGGGGCGCCGGGCAGGAGGCTGGATCTGGACGCCGACGACGTGCGCGAGCTCGCGGGGTTCCAGTCCCGCGTCCAGCAGTGCGTGGTGCGTCTCCTCAATCGCCTCGTGCTTGCGCACGGAACCGCAATTTGTTTTCTCATTCCTTTTCCTTCAAACTTCAACAGTGACAAAACCCATTTGCTTCACATTTATGCTGCAATGCTATAAGCTAATGTTACAATGACGGCTTGCCAGTGATGCACTGATGCTGTAACTACGAAGGAATTTAGTCCAGTAACACATAGGTTCTTCCGAAGTTACAGCAGTTTCTCAACCGTTGATTCACGCTACTCATAGAAGCTATTATTGTTTCATGTGGTGTAGAGGGATTGTTCATTTCCCTTTATCTTTCTGTGATAAGTGCAGAGTATATTGTTTCAAAAAAAAAAGTGCAGAGTATATTCCTTGATTATGGCTATGGGTAATTGGGAAGTCACGTTTTCTAACTGTTGCTGCAAGGTCCATATGGATAGTCCCTTGGATTTTGGTATCTCTGATAGGCTGCTGTTCATTGCTGAAAACTTTTGTGCCCATTGTTATCTGTGGTAGGCTGTTGTTCATTTCCTGATATTTGTTTAATATGTGTCCCCACATGAGTACAGAGGCAAAATAGTCATCCATTGCAACCACGTTGAGCTCATTTTAAACCTTCTCAAGACATAAAAGTCTTGCGACTATATGCAACATTTCCTCAGCTTGGCAGTCCAAAGCTTGCTTGCTTATTTTTCTTCTGTTCTTTGATCATCTTCTGCCTTGCTTCTGAAGTCTCGTCTTCATTTAGGCTAGCAGAGGATTTGGTCTCACAGCAGATATTATTGATCATTGCAAGCTGGTCCTTAAATTTCCTGAAGGAACCAACAGCACCTGGGTCGGTATTCCTCCCATTTTTATGGCCAACGGCTGCTATTCCTCGCCCAGAATCATGAGTTAAAGATTCATCTGTGATGATATTTCTTGAACTTTTTGCAGTATAACACCCAGTTCAAGATTTTTGAACCTCTAGAATACAAATATGATGTCTGCGAAACTATCCTATTGTGGGAACAGGTTAGGACATTCTTCTAGACTAACATGTTTACTCTTGTTACTTGTATGCTTGTGATAATACTAATATGATCGCAGTACCGCAACATGACAACTGTATTGACAAGGGAATACTTGGATGTGAGGCCTGATGGATGGTTGGATTATGCGGCTAAAAGGATTGCACAGCTGTAAGCTTAGGATTTTTTTGTCATCTTTTCTTTTAAAGTGAAATCAATCTCTGCATTGGTAATAATTCTTTTGATTTCAAAATGTGCAGTGGTGCTGATAAATGCTACAATCGTACTCTCTGTGATGAGCTTCTTAGCATTTTACTGCCTACTAAACCCCCTTTCCATCCACGCCAGTTCGCAACATGTGCAGTTGTTGGTAACTCAGGAGATCTCTTGAATACAGAGTTTGGACAAGAGATTGATGCACATGACGCAGTGTTTCGGGACAATGAGGCACCTGTCAATAAGGTAAACATGTTGCATTATTATCAATTCAAATCTATCTAAACAGAAGTTTTGCAAACGAGCCTGGCCTCTAGTTGCCCAGATCTCATGATTCATATATTACTTTTCTTTCTTATATTTCTTGAGCTTAGCACCTCACTTTCTTAGCTGTGCTGACAAATTTATTTTCTCTTGAGCATCAATATGGAATAGTCATTGGTTACTGATATTATTTATGTTTTCATCCGTAGAAATATGCCAAACATGTTGGATTGAAAAGGGACTTTCGACTGGTTGTCCGGGGTGCTGCTCGAAATATGGCACCAATACTGAAGGGCTCCTGTAATGCTGTAATCCTGATTTCTTCCAATTTACTATTTGTCCCTTCTATATAATATGCTGTAGTCCTTATTTATATGATATATGTTACTCGTTTGTGGTAACAAACAAATGCAAACTTACTACCCTTTTTACAAGTTCAATTTATGGGTCTGAAGTTGTTATCAAATAGAGTTTACACATGTGGTAAATATTTCTGTTATGGCATGTGAGGGCTGCTTTTGAAACAAGATGTGACTGTCTTGCTTTCCCTTGCAGCTGATGAGGCACTTATCATTAAAAGTTTGACGCACAAAGAAATCAATGCGGTGATAAAGGTAACAGATCTGCATATTGTTTCATTGAGCTGAGTTTGTGATATAAACTAATTTTACTTAAGTGTTATGACTCATGGAAGGTCATGCTCACTTATATTGAACATGGGTTACTTGCAGGAACTTCCAAATCCTGTCTACCTTTTTCAAGGTATAGTTTTAAGAAGAGGTGCTAAAGGAACTGGCATGAAGTCCATAGAACTGGCCCTTTCCATGTGTGATATTGTTGACATGTATGGTTTTACAGTTGATCCTGGGTACACAGAATGGTGAGTTAACGAATGGCTACAATACTGAGTATTTCACCATTAACATGGCAGCTGGCGCTATGTTTCCCTTTTTGTATAAATATATATTCTTCTCACTCCATATTATTTCAGGACACGGTATTTCACAGGCCCTAGGAAAGGACATAATCCACTGCAAGGCCGAGCTTATTATCAACTTCTGGAATGCCTTGGGGTAAGCCTCAACCATGTTATCATTATGTTCTATCTGCATAGATTTATTCTGACCTATGTGATAATTACCATGTGTAGGTCATTCGTATCCATTCTCCCATGAGAGCACAAAGGGTGGAAGATTGGTCAGACATACCAAGCAAAGAAGAGATCAGAAGAGCACACACTGCAGCTTTTCATCTAAAAAAACATGAAACTGGCCAGTCGGCTGAACTGGGGCCATTTAGTAATTGCAAGATGTGGGGAACAGTTGACCCTGACTATGGACCGGTATCAGGTACTTCAGATATGAGTGAGACACGCAAGAATTCAAACTACAGCAAGTGGGAGTTGCTTCCACTTGAGAAGCTGAGAAGAGAAGCTCAGGAATACCATATCCAAATGGGTGGCGTGTCTCTATATAAGATGGATGGAAACAAGTTGGATGATCTTGTCTGTGTGAGGCACCAACGTTCATCAAGTTAAGACCGTGGCTGCCTAAGCTTGACCAAAGATAGTGTTTTGACACTTTTAGGATTGGTTGCATGGTGGTTCTGAAAGGACGCTAGACAACAAGATTCCAAACATCCGATGAAACTGCATGCGTTGCTGTATCCACTTGTAAAATTACATGAGGCATCGGGTTCAGAGCGCGGCAGCCCTACCTGGAATAGAGAATTCTTTTATTGGTTGTTTAGGTACTTCTAGCCTTCTAGGAACAGCTACTTAAGCTGTCTAAGGGCTTGTTATGTGGACACCACATGACTTGGTTTTCACTTTTTGACACAGCTGCAACTAAATGCTAAAGGGCCTTGCCATTTCTCAATTATGAGGTGCATTTTGTCACCGATCCAGCAGTCTCGATTCCAAATTTGTGACGTTCGTTGTTAACTGACTCTCATCTGACTGTCCCAGTTGAGTTCATTACCAGAATTATGTGTGAATCTTGTAAACTGATTGAGGACGTCTGCAACAACTGCCCTTTTAGCTGCCTGTTACCCAGTAGCCCAGATATATAATTTCCAATTCACAACCTTTTTCCTTTTTTTTATCAAAAGTCAGTAGCCCAGATGTATAATTTCTAATTCACAACCTTTTTATTTTTAATCAAAAGTCTTGGACCAATACTGGCTTTGTCTGGCCAATTTATAAATTGAAAAAAAAACAAGGACAAAATTGGATGACCAATACTGGCTTTGTCTGGCCGATTTATAAATTGAAAACAAAACAAGGACAAAATTGGATTGGAGTTGTCCATTGCAATGTAAATAAATTGGGTTCTGTTTCCACCCCTCTTTGTACAGAATGACTGGTACGCAACAGTTATTTTAGTCACCTAAAAACAGAGGTTCATAAACTATAATGCTCCAACCAACTTAAGGTTGTTCATAAACCATGATGGTCCATACAACTTTAGGTAGACACACCATCCTGGTTCAAGCAACATAATATAATGAACAAATAAATAATCCTAGAGGTTCACACAAGTTGAACGCGAGCTATTGAACCGCCGAGTCATGATCTCATTCTGCAGCATCTTGTAGTACTGCTGTTGCAGCTCAGACATGCCGCTAGTGTCCTTAGTCATGATTCTCTCTTCTTCTAACATGATCTTCAAATCTACCTCTTTGCTCTTCAAATCCAATTCTTTCCTCTTTATCTCAAGATTCCTCACCTCATTAGCAGCCCTGGCTTGTTCCAGCGCGACCTTCTGTTGTTCTAGCGCAACCCTCTGTTGTTCTAGCGCAACCTTCTTTTGTTCCAGTGCATACTTCTGTTCTAGCGCAACCTTCTGTTGTTCTAACGCAACCTTCTGCTGTTCCAGCGCATGTTTATGTCTCTCATGTTTGTCTCTCTCGCCATTGTTGATCTGTCTCTCCGCATCAGCTTGTTCATCTCTGTCTGTCTCAGCATGTTCATCTCCCTGGCCATTGTTGAGTTCTCTCCCCTCATCAGCCACTTTCCTCTTCCCCCAGAGATCATCTGACGCCTCCAGGTAATACAAACCAGCTCCACCTTGCTGTAAATTCTCTTTCTCCTTGTTCACATCCACTGGCTGTATCAACACCTCACACTCCTGAGCCGCAGCCTCTAAACTGTCGTCGTCGCATGGCGGAGCAGACGAGCCCGGGCTCGAACAGGGAGTCGTCTTCTGTTTCTTCTGAGACGAGGAGGCCACCACCACCTGGGTCTGGGAACACGACGACGACCGGTTGATCCACGCCAGCTTCTGCGACGACCTCTCGATCCACTTCTGGTGCGACCTCAGGAGGTTCCAGCAGTGCAGGAACTGGAACGACTTGTTGTTCTTGTCTTCAGACTTGAAGAGAGCCAGCGCCTGCACCACCTGCAAATACAACAGTGAAAGAAAAAACGTCACAACATTCCAGACTGACTGCACAGTGCACACGACAGTGAAAAGAAATGTGACAACCAAGAACACCACGACAGATCGAGCAGCGTCACCGTGTCCTGAGGCGTGAGCGAGTTGTCGTCCTGGCCGTCGACGACGTCGGCGACGCAGCGGTCGAAGCGCTTGACGTTGTCCTGGATGGTGGACCAGCGGTGGAGGAGCGAGTTCTCGCTGCGCTCCGACTCGAAGTCCCTGCGCGCGTGGAAGTAGTCGTGCATCCGCTTCCAGTAGGGCGCGCGCTCGCCACCGTGGGCCGGCCCGTCCGAGCTCACGTTGAGCCACGCCAGCACCAGCATCTCGTCCTCCTTGTCGCTGAAGTTCTTGGTCCGCTTCTGGTTCAGCCGCACCGCGCGGGCGGCGGCCGGTAGCGCCTTGGCCGGCGAGCGCTGCTGTTGCTGCTCCAAGACTGAAGGTTCGTCGCCGCCGATGTGCGCAGAGGCAGAGGGCAGGCCGGTGACGTAATGCCCGTTCCCGTCCATCGTTCCTCTATCGATTCAGTAAACCGACGCAGTCAGATTAACATCGACACATACATGATGAATACTGGGTTTCGATTTTGGTAATTTACTTTTTTTTAATTACCTTGGCCTCACGCCGGTGGGGTGGGGCGGAGGCGGCGGGGTGCGGGGGTCGGGCGGACGCCGTCACGTCCTGGCGCCCTGCAAGCCGGAGGACGGGGCGCCGAGGGAGGATTTGGGAAGGCGCGGGCGCGGGAGCGGGAGGAGAGGCGATTTGGGAGGGGCGTGAGATTGGGGGTCGCCACAAGCAGCGAGGTTCCGCCTAGGGCTCGGTAAAGATGAGGACGAAGTTGGAGCTGGGGGGCTTTCTTCGGTGGGTGGGGGCAGACCTGGGACTCTGGGAGAGGGCTTTCTAGGATCGATCCCTAATTATAGCTAGACAGATCGGAGACGGGGTGCTCGTTTGGCGCGTCGCACTGTCGATCATCCTTACAAAAAAAAAAGGAAGTAAACAGTGAATCTCGCACACATCTTTTTTTTTTCTTCTAATGAATCTCGCCACATCTTTTTTTTTTCTACTAAATCTCGCCACACACGTCCGCCCTACTGAATCTCGCCACAATCGAGATGGAACGTTTTGTGCGCCGCACTGGTGTTTCGCTAAACTTATCACACACAAGTTTGAGAGATGGAGGTTCATGTATACATAGGCACGAGGCGTCGAAAGATGCATATTTTGTGTACAGCAAAATTCATCGATTCACCCACACAACCACCAAGAAATCGTGCCACGGTATAACAAATGTATATAACAGCAGCAAACTTTGCTGTTCCAATCATATTTATAACTGATCCGCGTACTATGAAGATGACACATCCGTTATTTATACCGGTAAACATCTGCCCTCAGAAGAATTTTTTTTACAAAGAGACGAAAGAAAACAGAAGATGAAATCGGACTCTTTCCCTAGGCCACACGCACCACCACCATTTTATGGAGCCAAGACATCAAATCGCCATTCCAGTTTTCTCTGCAGCCGTTTATGTAGTGCTTGAGAAAAAAATGGCAGCATCGTGTTATTGCACTTCTGCTCTGCCGCCACTCACAACCTGGAATTTGTAATATTGGAATCTGTTAGTTTGATCCAACCGAGGCTCTAGGACAAGATCTATGTGGTACCTTTGAAGATGAAGAATCGGCATGTGTAAGCCTTCTTTCTGAGACCCTTACTTGTCCTAATTTGATCCAGATGTCGCAACACAAGGGGCGGGGGCATTGCTAGCGCTGGTACTCGTAGTAGTGGTAGTAGTAGTACCAACAGCAGCAGAAGCAGAGCTGGTCTCTGTAGTCCCTTCATTGCTTGATTCTGTGGCGGGAGGAACTTCGGAAGTGGATGCTGTCGGGCCATCACCTGTTCTGCTATTTCCTCTAGTTTCCAGGCGCTCCATCATCCGTGACACGGACGCGATTCCAGCATTAACCTCTCTTCTCACTTCAGAACCAAGATCCGCCACGGACGAATTACGTGAAAAGAGTCTCTCCTTCCACCCTCGAGTACTCTTTGTAATAGATTCTTTGTACCTGTGTCATACAAAAGTATTGCAAAGCTTTAGGATAAAAATTCATTATGCTAGAAGGCTCAAGGCAAAAAATATATTGACAAAATTACAAACTATCCATACTTCATAGAGACGGCATTTAAGCGAGACTTCAGGGAGTCTGAGAAAGACTGAATATCCGATGGTCCAGCCCTGTCTGGAGTTGACTGTCCAGTGGAGTGCCTCCTGATGCATCATAGTCGTCATTTAGTTAGATAACCACAAAAAACTAACATGAGAAAACAGTATCTGAATATATACTAAGTACCTGTTAAAAAACCGAGGACTCGATACAGGAGTGCTATTTCCAGAAGAAACGACAGCATCCTGTTCAGCATCGTAGGTAAGCATCCCGGGACTTTGGTTTCCTGCATCTCCAACGCGAATAGCTCGTGGAGATGACTCACTAGCTCTAGGGGTGGCAGGATTTGAATCATTTTCTCCCTCCACATGGGCAGAAGATGAAGAAATTGTGCCAGCAGAAGGTGAATTTGGATGTGTAGAGAAAACTAGGAACTGTGGACGACCATGAGAGCCAGATCGTCCCCTGTGCCCCTCCCTTCTTCCAAGATGGTGTGCCCTTCCCATTGCAGCAGCAGCAGCTAGATGCTGTAGTATGCGCTCTTCAAGCTCAGCATCATTACCAACAGGCAGCTGCACAAGCATATCAAGGTAATCAGGAAAGACTTAAAAATGACACTTAATAACCAGCATGTTAGAAGAAATGTATCATTGAAGTGGTTTTGTAACACATACATGCTGCAGCTCAAAATCCCCAAGAGCAGGATGATGAAATATAGTTGTGTTTCGAGTTTGATTAGTTCTTATATTCCTCTCACGCTCTACTGCCTCGAGCAGCTCCTGACTGAGATATCAGTAAAACTAGAATTAGCCAGGAAGTAGCTACTTACTAGTCTAAGAGGATAAAAATGGTAAGCATAGTATTTGCACAGCCAAGAACTTGCCTGGTAGGATCCTTCATACTAATAGTCTGCCAACACATTGGGCACTGTGAA